GTAAGTAGATAAATAATACTTGTGGGCAAAGTTTCTCCTTATGTATAACTCAGAGAATATACTGAGCTTAAAAGGTTATTTATGGAGTACAAGGAAGAAAGCTATAATAAAGAACCCAATGGCTATAATTTAATTTTTAGTGCTATAATTCAGATTCAGTAATTCAGTAGCAGATGTAAAAAATGAAATGGAAGAAAAAAATTAAAGTGCCACCAGACTGACTAATCAGTCATTGAAAATGCCTGTAGTGGGAATTTACTCAGATAGAAAATATTTGCACTGTCATTAAAGATTCCCTAATTTATATTAGTGAACTAATATAATGACAGGCACAGAAATATACTCTGAAGCTGAGTCTATGCAGGAGATAAGCATTTCTAACACACTCTGGTATTTAAATGTTCTTAAAACTCCAGGTATCCCACCACTCCCCTCACCTCCAGTAAAAGTTTCTGTCTCTCTGTTTCTCCACACATACACACACCCTCAAGAAATACTAGAAGTAATGTAGACCAAGACTTAATTAAACAATTAAATAAGCAACATTGACTCACAACTCTTAAGATTGAATTAAATGTATTCAAGGCAAATAGGCAGGTAAGCACATGTTAATTCTTTTCTAACACTTAAAAAAAAATCTGTTATCTTTTAGACAAGTCTACAAAGCCCAAATAACTAACTTTTAAATGTCTCCAGAGAAATACAGACTACTACACAGGTTTTAATTCCCAGAAATATTCTTTAAATTTGGACCTTGCTAATACCTCTAACAAATTGGCTGTTCATTAGTCTAATTGTCACTGGTTCCCAGACCAAAAATTCCATGTACCCTGCAAAACCTCCAAATAGAAGCCACAATCTAAGTTTAGTTCTCTTGATTAGAAAGAAGAGCAGTATTAAATTAAATCAGGCCATGTTGAGGTAGCAGGTAGGGGGAATGACTGCTTTTTATTGTTCAGATTACATCTAAATTGTTTAATTCTTAGTGGCATGTATACAGTAGGAATTTGCTGGAAGGTACAGGAGGAGGAGAGTGAAAAAGGAAATAAATATCTATAGGATTACCTATTTGTACCAGGTATAATTATAGAAACTTTATATTTATCAAATCATTTAACTTGAATGACTTCCCTTTAAGGAAGGTATTAATTTTCATTTTGCAAATCAGTAAATGAAGATCCAGAGAGATTAAATAACTGGCTCAAGGTAACCCAGCCAGTAGTTGTTGTGGCAGAGATTAGAACCTTGATCAAGCTGACTCCCAAGACAATGCCTGTCCCTAAATATAAGTGATATGTCCTTGTGCCAGTGGGTACAGATTTTATATCAACTTGCTGGCCTTCCAGGTATTAGAGACACTGTTTTACATTTACAACTTCCTTAGAAGACATCATTTGGTTGATATCATACCACCTGCTTGAGAGTATTACACACCTCAGAGTTTTTGTGAGGAGTAAATGAGTTAATACAGAAAACTACGTAGAATAACATATAATACTCAGCAAATGTTACTTATTATTTATGAGCTTAAGTAATGAGTAACCTTTATACCTTAGGAGGACTAGTTATAGGAACGAGTATGTTAAGCCTGGGCAGATTAAGAAAATATGAGTGACACCTTTCCTGTAAAATAGTCACTAGACTTGATCAGTGTGGCTACAAGGCAAAATAAGAACTAATGAGCACAAAGAGTTCATGTAGGCTGATTCTGATTATAAGAAAACAAAATATTTTTATTATTGTATCAACTGCCAAAAAGGGAATAAGCAATTTAGGATATAGTGAATCCTCTGTTCTGGATCTAGTTTATGTACCACCTAGATTCACTGAGCACCCCTTCTCATGTCACCCCTTCCCTCCAACCTGGGCCACTTGTCCTGCTACCCAGCCAGAGCAGGAGGTTAACATCACTTGAAACAGAATTTCAGTAGTGAGAGAATAAGAAATATGAAGGAGCCAACAGGTGAACTGCTCACCCTCTCTAACCAACTCTTGAAAATTTCGGTTGTTTTGTTTTTTTATCTGTTGACCAAGTCTGACTACTTGACTAGTGGGGCCCAGTGCAAAATGAAAGTGCAGGGCCCGTTTAAGTAATTAATAAGAGTTTCAAAATGGCGACAACAAAAGCATTAAACAAAGTACAGGGCCCTTCTAGACACGTGGCCCCGTGTGACTGCACAGGTCACATGCCCATGAAGTTGGTGCCAGTGGAAACAACCTGAGACGCTAAGTGTCCAGCTGTAAAGAAAGCTGTGACCAGTTCAGTAACTTATTCTCCTGTATTTGCTTTCTTCCCTTGTCCCACATGCTTGATTCCCTGGGATTACACCCCACCATCACCCCCAATAATTGTGGCCTTAATAAGCAAGCTTCTTAGGGTTTTTTTTCTAGGAACATAGACTATGACACTGTATACCCTGAGTTTTTAGAACTGGGGAGTCTAGTCCAAATCCCCATCAATGTTACTTCTAACTCTAAGATATCACAATTCCACCAATTTTAGAATATATGCGTTATGTAATGGTATTGTTCTTTTACTTTGACCATGTATTTGCATGTGGGCCAGAATCCTTGGATTATTACATCTTAGGTATTCTCTTTTGTTCAAGTGTACCATTAATAATTCATCAGAGGGGAAGAGTAGAAATGCCTAATAAAAAAAGGGAAAGGTGTCCTTTACTTCTTTTCCTTATCCCAGTTCCTCATTTCCCATTTGTCTAGCATCTCTGCAGCCCTGCTTCCTCTGCCTGTTATTAGACACACTTTGCTTCCTGCTCCCTTCCCATACTCACATAATAATTGATATGATAACTTTCAATCATTATGATAACTTCTACATGCATATTTGGTTGCAGAAGTTGGCAGAAATTTAAATCAGAACCAAAACTTTTTGCATTATACACATTGATTCAACAAACATTTATTGAGTACCAGGTGTGGTAAGTACTGAGGGAAAAGCAAAGAATTAGATACAGACCTTATCATTAAGTCACTTGAGGTTTTATAGCAGAAACTTTGTGTTTATGTACATGAAACAAAAAAATTCTCATTCAAGTGGAAGGCAATATGTGGAAGATTACTTAAAAGTGTCTTTACATGGTAGAGAATTTGCTAGAGTTCTGGAGGGATTTATAGGGGATTTAGGATTTGACATCAGAAGCTGAGGAAGACAAATGTCTGGAAAATACTTTTATTCAGAATTCAACTTTTGGGTAAAAAGCAATCTCACTGGATTAAAAGTATTGTCTCTTGTTATATGAGACAACTAGAATTATGTTTACATAGCAACTTGATTAGGCCATTTCTATATGGAACAGTCAAATGAATCCTCCTCCTCCTCCTCTTTTTAGTACTGGAATTATTATTGTTTTTCATAGGAGGATCACTATTGTGTCCTAATCCTGGGCTTTGGGCACATTTTGTTAACTGCAGAAAGTTATCATGAATTTATTTCTTCTTTATAACCTAAATGACATAAACAACTTTTCAGTTTCATACCTTTAGTTTTTCAACCAACTGGAGAAAGGAGAACCTTTTTGAATAATTATCAAGAATCTCCTGGAAAAACCCAACTGAAAAAACTTAAAGTCAGAGAGAATGATTTCCTCCATAGCAAATGCATCCTTTAAATAAAACAAGTCATGATCGTTGAGCCATTAGCAAAATTTTGGCAAGACTAAACTCTCTTAGATTTCTCCAATAAAGAATAATTTCCAATCTTGTCACATCTATACAAATGGAACTCAATTAGACAGTTACTTGAACAGTTACAGATTAATAGAAAAAAATATATAATTTGTCTTTAATGTTGGTGTTTGATTTTCCTCTTGAACTTCCAATGTATATTTAAGGCAATTACTCCTTGTTGAGTTATAAAAGTGTACATGTTCAATGTGATGAATTTGTATCAGAAGAGTTTGGCTGAAATTTGCCATGGGGTTGATTTTGTCACTCTTGAATTTTTTACTGTAATTCTGATATGCCTCTGAATGAGACCAGTATTTACTTAAAAAAAAGAATTGTAATATTATTCTATTTCTGTTCCTTAAATGAAAAGAGCAGTGTTTCAGAGTACTGAGTTTAAGAACCAGTGTCACAGGTTACCTATCAAATTCTGATACTTACCTTGTATTTTCAACTACAGCCCTGCCAAATGCCATTGATATTGATAGAAGTGTTTTCATACATAATTGGCTGTCATGCAGTAATAGAGTATCTATAAAATAGTATAAGCTTAAGAAAAAAGCACCTCTGTGAAAAGAAGGCATCATAAGAGTTGGGGAAAGTGTTCATATATTTAGGAGCAGTTTGAATACAATACTTAAAATTATTGGCTGTCAATGAGGAGAGAAAAAGAAAAGTGCAGAGAATGTTAGGGGTAATTAAAGCAAATAATAATAGTGTTTGAGGGTATATTGAAGCTTTGTGGGTGTGTATGTGCATTTGTGTTCTCTGGGGTTTGCTCTGAATTCCTTTTATGTATCAACAGCAATTTTTAACATCTCTGTTAGCATGAAAAGCACTAAAGGCAGTAACTTTTACTGTAGATGTTGGTTTATAAAAATAAGGATATTTCAACAAAGGAAAAATATTTGATCCTTTTATATAATTTAACCTTAAATCATTTATATAACCAAGAACATGCATTAATAAAATAAGATCTCTTTGAACCTTAGTTTCTCTTCAATCTTCAAATTAGATTTTAAAGAATGAAATATTAGAAATTCCACCAGTTAATTTAAATAGAAATGGATTCATTTGAACTAATGGCTGAATAAAATGGTGACATTCCCATATTAAGCATGATGATTTGGTATATTACACATTTTCACTTACTTCATGGAGAGTAGAATTTTTATGAGTGGTAATTCAGAAAACTCTTGAGTTGACTTCATGAAACTATCTTCCACATTAAAAAAAAAAATTGATATTGTTTTCTTTTAGTTGTTTTGTGAAATACATGGTAAAATATTCTAAACTCTTTGTACACTGTTCTTCAGTTTCAGCTGAAATTCTCAAGAGTAACCTTGAAGCAATGGAACAACAAGTCATTAATCTGGAACGTGACATCAAGAAATTCCCCCAAACAGAAAATCAACATGATAAGTTTGTGGCAAAGATGACAATATCCTTTATTTAAACATTTTGTTAGTTTCTGTGTGTGTGTGTGTGTGTGTGTGTGTGTGTGTGTGTGTGTATTTACTGTGTGTTTAGTTCGAAATTTACCAGTGTGTTCACAGTGGATGAATATGTGTATAGGCTGTTATTATATTAACAGCATAAATTTTGGTTCATGATGTTTTAAACCAGGTAGAGTTAGCAAGGGAACAATGAGATAAGAAAAAAATGCCATTTCTCAAAGAATTTCATTTGAAGGCCAATAAGATATGCAAGATAAGTCTTATGAGGTTTGATTAGACCCAAAACAGAACAAAAGAACCTCCTGTATAACCAGTTGCTTAAAGGAAATGATCAACAAAAGATTATTCTTTTTGTCAGAGACTTTTTCTCTTTGTGTGTGTGCAGGTATTTTCCAATGGCATGCATGCATTTTCAAGGACAATCAGATGACTAATATCAATAGACTAAAGGATCGAGAAGGGTTAAATGGATGTATGGGTGGATGGATAGATGAGTTGATCAGTAGATTATTTATTTAAATAAATTTTAGTAGCTATCTATATAACATTAAGCACTTCCTGCTAAATACATGTTTTTAAATCCCTATTGTATATGCAGTATATTCATATAAAGGATAAAATATATGTTAGAAGAACTTGAGAAATAGTATTTAGCTTGAACTGTTTAATGTTAAATCTGGTATCTAAAGATAAACAACATTAGAGTTGATTTTTTTTCTCCATTTTGGTTTTCAAAAGTTAAAGCCATATCCTCCTCCTGGTTTAAATAAATATCTTGAACTGCAGATTGATTCACCATTTTATATCTCTAGAGGGAATGAATACTGTAAATTCTTTATCTGATAATAAGTAAATTCCTTCAACAACTATGTGGCAGTCACCTTGTTTCAAGGTTAAATCTATTGCCTTTTTCTTCTCTGACATGCTTTCTTTCCTGTCCAACTTGGAAGCTATGGTACTAAATTTGAATTACTTGAGAAATGGCAATTTAGATTTATGTGAAAAATGTTTTTTGAGTCTCAGTCTTTTGGCTCATGAGTTAATACTATATTTTGTGTGGCCCTTTAGTGATGCTGAGGACTTTCATAATAGGAATATTGGAAACATAATTTTTGGGTGATTGGAGGCAGGAAATCCTCAAACATAACCTTGAATTACATAATACCCACATTGGGATACTTAATATGAAGATTTAACTTGATTGATGATTAGATTTTTCTTTCAAATATATTGTCCTTTAATTGGAAACACCACCCACATTTTTCAACTTTTGATTTTGGTTCTTGCCTCATATATGTTGAATTTAATTCCTGATCCCCTTGCTCCTTTTAACATTTTATTCGACAGCTGGCTTATGGCCACAGAGCAGCTTGCCACATTGAGGAGTCTTTGTTGCTCATTTAGAAAAAGAAAAGTAATTTCAAACCCTCATGAACTTGGCCTGGACTCTTTATTTCTCTCTTTATGCAGGTAATTAAGTACTTTAAAAGACAAATCCAGTGCCTTTTGTATCTGTAAGTTATAGATGAATGGTTATTCTTCATTTTAAGTGCGCTAAAGTGTGACTGTCTACAAGGGGATTTGAAAACTTTATTAAAATGGAGCTGTTACTTTGCATATCATATTTTAAAAAAATAAAACAAAATAAAATATACAGCAATTTATTTAGGGAAAAGGTTAGACTATTGAGTTGAGTTGGTTGAAAACTCCTAATTCATGAATTACAATGACAGAGTTGTTACTTAAATTATTCTTGCTTTGGAAGACTCACTGGGCACCCACTGAGAGTTTCAATCTTCTAGAAAATGAAAAAATGCATGCTCATCATATGCATGTATTTTATATAAATTCTGATGCCTACTGAATATTTTTTACTCTTCTGGCAGTTACAAAAGAGAAGGATATTTTATTATGGGATACTTGATTCTGTTTTAAAATTAAAACCATGATTCTATTTCTAGTATAGGATTCTTTGACTGGATGATCTTTCCGATATTTCTGTCCCCTGCCAATAACTTGTTTGCTTCAGATCACTGGCCCTATAAATTGAATATCTATAGGCACAAGTATGGAAGTAGTTTCACTTGAAAGTAACCCTACCAACTTAAACAGTAATGTCTAAAGACAGTCAATTCAAACACTAAATACCAATGCCATGCCTCTGGCTTTCAGAACATCAGGGCTGTAGTTAGCAGCAGTGGTGGCCAGAGAGCAACTGAATATGCAGGTTGAATCTTCAACAGATCTCCAGGTTGGCTAAGTCCTATAGCACCTTATGTTCACACTTAATTTTTCACAATATTGATTGAACACTTATAATATACTAGGTATTACCAGGCCATGAAAATACAACAGTGCACAAGATAGAAAACTTGACCTCATGCTGCTTACAGTCTTGGCATTTACATGCTTCCCTGTCTTTTTGTCCCCATGGCCAAGATCATGTCTGCTGTGTTAATTTCTGTATGTGCATTACAATGCACACCATCTAACAACATGCAGGCACTCTCAGTAAGTATGTGTCAAATCAAAGAATATTAAGCTGGAGACAGTGGATAGCAGCTAATACATTCCTACTTTTACTTAGCACTTCCAAATGATTATTGTTAAACAGTGGTAGGCTGTGCTTACAGTTATAAAACTTTTCTTCATATAAATCTTATCAGGAACTCAAGTAACATTGAATCACCTTTTTAGAGCAGCATGTGAAGTTTAGTCAGTTTTAGATGGGAAATCCATACCTTTTTAAAGTAGATGTCCAGATGATGGGGGAGGCCAGGGTAGAAAATGAAACCTCTCTTATGAGTGAAGGGGACGAGGCTGTTCCCTGCCTCCTGAAGAACAGCCAATGGCTTTAGAACGAAGCTCATCACCTCTGTCTTTAGTCTCCCTTTCTCTCTACCCAAAATTGGTTGCTTGCTCTAACTCAAAACAAAAAAAAAGATGGAAAGAGTAAAATAAGCAAAACATTATATGACTACAAAACAAGGAGAAAGGGGGGATTATTATAAATAATAGGAGGGAGTTCTAGGATTAAAAGGAATGATCTATAGTGGATATAATAGTACTATATATATTGAAATGTACATTGTAAAAAATCTAGATAACTATATGGGGAAGTTATTGCTATTACCCTGATTTTTTTTAAAAGCAAACTTCTTAGTATTTTTCATACTAATGTGCTCATCATAATAGTACTTCAAGTTTTTAGTTCAGTTGTACAGTGAATTGAAATAAAATCTATATTCTTTTTTAGTACATTATAAAAATGATAATATTCAGTCTCACTTATTGAATGTTTACTATGTATCAGTGCCAAATTTTGCATACTTGAGCTTTTAAAATTTATCCATTTATTAAATGGGTTTTTTCAAGTTTTCCATATCTGATAACAATATTGACCACAGTTTTCCCTGTGTCACTGTAGTAAGCTTGAGATGTGGCAGATTAACTTCAACAACTCGTAAAGTTATTTGCCATAGCCCCATGGTTTTAAATTCATTCATTTCAATGGGTCATCTCTTTTTATCTTTTAAGGTTACCAGGAGTTCTGTAGTCTGTGTTTGGCATCTATTGCAAATATTGATAGGGTAACATTCAGAATCACTTCTGGTTTCAAAGCTTTGAAAAATAACACATGCTTCAGAGAGGTGAGAGGGTACAGTGAACATGGACTGCTTGCCATTCCTCAGGCCTCTTCCCTTTGACTTGACATTAGAGGTGCACTCCAGTTTTTGCTGCTTTTGTCTTTTTGGCCTGAGTGTGACTGTGAAAGAGTTCTTTTAAATCAAAGCATCACTTTTCCTTATAGCTCCTTGCTTTTTCTGACAGGAAAGAAGACCATTCTCAAAAGAGGGCTTCTTAGACTTTTAAATATGTGGTGATCCGTTCTCAACATCTTAAACTGTCTAAAAAGCACATTAACCACAATGTTGACCTTACTGCTTATATCCTGTTGACAAATTTCTGTCCACGTTTACTCACACAGATTTTGTCAATGGCAGGGCTGTCTGTTGCCCAACATCAGCTTGGCTTTTTGATTGACTGCTGGCTAAATCATTTCACCACCTGGAGGACAGGGAGTAACTGAGCAGCAGGGACACCATTAACACACTGACAAGAAGAACTGACAGAATGTTAATGACATTAACACCCTGTCAACTAACTGTCAACACCTGGGATTCCCTCACCGTAGGAGGGAGAGTCATTTGAAGTGATTAAAAATCAAGTTACTGAGGAAGCACACTATCCTTACCAGACAATTCAAAACTGATTTGGGGTCTCCGCTGCACCATAATTATGTTAATTGTATTCCACTGTTCTTTAGTAAGGAGAATAATTTTTTAAGAGATGGAAAAGCTCAACAACAGTAATATTAATCACCTTTGAGAACATGCCAATAACGGGTCTTAGCAAGATGATGATCCACACTTTGTAAAGCAAATGCCATGTAAAATTGACGAAACAAACAAACTAAAAATCTCAGGAGCAAATCCATGTGTTTCTTTTTTAAGTATGGATGTAGTAATCTTGACTCTTTTCTAACTCTTGAAGAAAAATCGAGAACTTTAGACTGGGGGGAAGTACTGACTTTAACTTTTTCTCCTTATGTTCAGTGCCTGCCTTTCTCAAACTCAGAAAATCAGGACGTTCAAAACATTTTTATGAAACTGTTAAGGGAAAGCAGCTCCAGGATAAAGTAAAACAAAATTTAAAAAAAAAATCATAGTCAATAATGGAGATAATACATACATTAAAAAGCAAATTGTCTTAGCAAAGTATGTGGGGAAAATACTGTTCTTTTTAAAAGGAAGATTGTTAACATTTTTTTGAGATATATGTTCTTCAGAATGGTTTGGGGATCTTTTATTTTTAGTTCAATTGTCTACATACTGATTTGAAATAGAAGGTATAATCATTTATAATAAAAATAAAATGATAGTAAAATAATAATAGCAACTGTCAAGTCAATGTCATGTGCCAG